TTACCCCTTGGGAGAGCCTAGACTCAACGCCTTCCTCTTCACCTCTGCTGCGACTACGCATTCAAAGCAGCTCAGGGGGACCTGCCGCACAAACCCTAAACCCTAAACCCTAAACCCTAAACCCTAAGCCTAAACCCTAAACCCTAAACCCTAGAGCAACAAGAATACTGCTCGTTTCCAAAATGAAAGTACCTTGAACTCTCCCCAAACGAGACACGTGCGCGCCTGTGCTGCTGCTGTTTCTCCCGCTGCTGCTGCTGCTGCTGTTGCTGCTGCTGGTGTTGCTGCTGCTGCTGCTGCAGGCGCTGCTGAGCAGCAAATCCACTCTTTAGGAAGCTTTTGTTTGCGCAGCAGCGCGCGCAGCTGCCAGTAGCACCTAATTAACAAGCCGCACCCTAAACCCTAAACCCTAAACCCTAAACCCTAAGCCCTAGCGCTCGAGCCCTACGTTCTAAACCCTAAACCCTAAACCCTAAACCCTCACGACTGCAGCAGGGAAAAGTCTCCGTAGCGCTGGGCCATCGCCACCGAAAGGGGAAGGGCCCCTTCAAGGTTTTGCTGCAGTTTTCTTTTTGCTGCGACAAGGAGACAAAACAAAGCCAGTCTTGCTGCTGCTGTTGCCGCTGCTGCTGCTGCTGGTCCTGCTGCTGCTGCAGCAGGTCCTGTTGCTGCAGCTGCTGCTGCTGGCGCCGCAGCAGTCTCCTCTAACGCAGTGTCAAGGCTGCAGTGTGCTGCAGCTGCTTCTGCTGCAGCTGCAGCTTCTAATTCTGCTGCGGCTGCTGCTGCAATTCCTGCCGCTGCTGCTGCTTCTTCTGCTGCTGCTGCAGCAGCCTCGAAGTCAACAGCAGCATTACCACACAAGATGCAACACGCGATGTAAACATGCAGCAGCAGCAGCTGCGGCTGCTGCTGCTGCTGCTGCTGCCCCGACCCCACAGTCTCTAAAGCAGCATCGGCAAGCTCAAGGAAAGCAGCAAGCAGCCTCGACCCTCTAGATGCTGCTGTTCCTGCTGCTGCTGCTTCTGCTGCTGCTGCTGCTGATTCACCTTCTGCTGCTGCTGATGCTACGGAGTTTGGCGCTGCCAGCAGCAGCTGCTGCGCCTGTGCTGCTGCTTCTCTCGCGGGCCTAGACTGCCGCAAACTGCAACCAAGGAGCTCAGGCACCAGTTGCTGCTGCTGCTGCTGCTGCGGCTGCTGCTGCTGCTGCTGCTGCGGCTGCTGCTCCTGGTCTTCTGTATCTCCTGCTTCAGTACGGGGAGAGCTTGGCGTTGCTGCTGCTGCTGCTGCTGCTGCTGCTGCCAAATCCGGCGGCGAGCGGAAGAAGATGCTGCCGGCAGCAGCTGCTGCGGGTCGAGCAGCAGCAGCAGCAGCAACTGCTGCTGCTGCTGCTGCTGGAGCAGCAGCAGCAGAGGGGCCCTTAAAAAGAGGAAAGGCAGCAGCGAGAGCAGCACTTAAGTCTTCTGAGGCCTCGAGGGCAAACGTCTGTAGGCCAATGGCGCTTCGACTGCATGCACACTGCAGCAGCAGCAGCAGCAGCAGCAGCAGCACCGGCGTAACGAGCGGCGCGAGCATTAACAAAAATAAGTGCAGCCGCAGTAAGGGCTGCAGCAGCTGCATCTCCAGCAGCAACTGCAGCAGCGAGTACAGCAGCAACTGCAGCAGCAAGTACAGCAGCAACTGCAGCGGCAACTGCAGCAGCGATCACAGCAGCAGCTGCAGCACCAAGTGCTGAGGCAGCTGCAGCAGGAAGTACAGCAGCAGCTGCAGCAGCAACCGCTGCGGCAACTGCAGCAGATATCACAGAAGCAACTGCAGCAGCAACTGCTGCGGCAACTGCAGCAGATATCATAGCAGCAACTGCAGCAGCAACCCCTGCGGCAACTGCAGCAGATATCATAGCAGCAACTGCAGCAGCAACCCCTGCGGCAACTGCGGCAGCGATCCGAGCAGCAACTGCAGCAGCGACTGCTGCAGGAACTGCAGCAGCGATCACAGCAGCAACTGCAGCAGCAACGGCTGCGGCAAGTGCAGCAGCGACCATAGCAGCAGTTGCAGCAGCAACGGCTGCGGCAACTGCAGCAGTGAATACAGCAGCAACTGCAGCAGCCACTGCCGCGGCAACTGCAGCGGCGATCAGAGCAGCAAATGCAGCACGAACTGCTGCAGCAACTGCAGCAGGAGGTACAGTAGCAACTGCAGCAGGAAGTGCTGCGGTAACTGCAGCAGGAAGTACAGCAGCAACCGCAGATGGAACTGCTGCGGTAACTGCAGCAGGAAGTACAGCAGCAACTGCAGCAGGAACTGCTGCGGCAACTGCAGCAGGAAGTACAGCAGCAACTGCAGCGGCAACTGCAGCAGCGATCACAGCAGCAACTCCAGCAGAAACTGCAGCAGCAGCACTGCAACAAAAATTTTACCTGACAACCCTTGGCTGCAGTTGTCGTCTGTTTGGGCTGCACTTCCTGTTGCTGCTGTTCTTCTAGCTGCTGCTGCTGCTGTTGTTGCTGCTGCTGTTGCTGCTGCTGCTGCCGCTGCTCTTTTTGCTGCTGCTGCTGCTGCTGCTGCTCCAGTTCTCGGTGGCGAGGCGTAGCGAGGTTCTGCGCAACAGACAACCGGACTGCCGGCTGCTCATGTGCTGCTGTTGCTGCTGCTGTTGCTGCTGCTTCTGCTGCTGCTGTTTCTGCTGCTGTTGCTGCTGCTGCTGTCGCTTGAAAAGGCAGGAAAAAAGACTCCCGCGAATCCCAAGAAGACCCTCCATACGATTTGCTGCCGCCAGCTTCATCCCATCCATTTCCTTGCAAGCTTTGCTGCTGCTGTTGCTGCAGCAGCAGCAACTGCTGCTGCTGCTGTTGCTGCAGCGGCAGCAACTGCTGCTGCTGCTGCTGCTGCGCAGGCAAGGCAGAGTTGTAGCCTCCTCCGTTTAGTGAGGGCTGTTGCTGCTGCTGCTGCTGCCATACCTGCTGCCAGTGCTGCTGCTGCCACGACTGCTGCTTCTGCCACGATTGCTGCTGCTGCTGCTGCTGCTGCTGCAAGTTTGGGCTGTCGCCGTCACAGCTAGGGCCCAGGGGCCCCGAGAGCAAGGAGCTTGAAAATGGCATAGTCTTTCTGCTGCTGCTGCTGCTGCTGCTTCTGCTGCTGCTGCTGTTGTTGCTGCTACTCGCGACGTCGCCGCTGCTGCTGCTGCTGTCTTCGTTGGTGCTACTGGTACGGCTGCTGCCGCTGCTGCGCTTATTGCTGTGGTCTTTGCTGCTGCTACTGCTGCTGCTGCTCCTGCTGCAGCTATCGCCTTTACTCCCCCTCCTGCTGCTGCTGCTGCGCTGCTGCTGCTGCTGCTGCTGCTGCTGCTGCCGCTGCAACACAACGAGTTCGAGACGGCGAAAGGATAGGGAACTTTCTGGGGCAAACCCTGAAGCCTTAAGCCTAAACCCTAAACCCTAAACCCTAAACCCTCGATTCTGCGTGCAGAAGAAGTGCAGCTGCACTGAAAATCGCGGTCGACGCCAACCCCAACTCCCAAACCCTAAACCCTAAACCCTAAACCCTCGCGGGGGGAAGACGGCGGCCAGAGCATCTCCACGTGGAGTTTTTCAAAACCCTAAACCCTGAATTATAACTCGAAGAAAGTCAAAAAAACGTAAACCCTAAACCCTCAACCCTAAACCCTGCACCGGTTCGGACTGGCTGGTCCAGACCAGCGCCGCCTCGCGGCAGCAGCAAAAAGCAAAAGGGGAATAAATAATTTGATTTAATTTAATTTAATTTTAAAAAGAAAAATAAAATTTAAATTCATTTCTGCTGCTGCTCCCAAGCAACGGGAAAGTGAAAGCAGAGAGCCGACAGCAGCAGTAGGAGCAGGAGCACCAGCAGTGGTGTGCTGCTGCTGATGCTGCTGCTGCTGCTGCTGCTGCGGCATGCAGCAGCTGCAGCAGCAAATTAAATTCGACTTTTAATGCATTTATTTGCAATTATTGATATAATTGTTTGCAATTTTTAATTGAAAATAAAATGAAATTCAAATTTGAGATTTTCACGTTCAGACAGCCGCCGCGCTCTCGGGTGTACAGACATCTCGCCTTCGCCCGCCCCCGCGAGCTGCCGATACACCCCACTCACACACCCAAACCCTAAACCCTAAACTCTAAATCCTAAACCCTAAACCCCAAACCCTAAACCCTAAACCCTAGAGCCAACGCTCTGGGCTCGCAGTAAGGCCTCAACTCCGGCCCCGAAGCTCTGAGGCCTACACCCTGAGCCGTAAACCCTAAACCCTAAACCCTAAACCCTAAACCCTAGACCCCGATATATTCAACCAGCAGCCTAAACCCTAAACCCTAAACCCTAAACCCTGATTCCCGATCGCTTCAACCAGCAGCCTAAACCCTAAACCCTAAACCCTAAACCCTAAACGCCAAACCCTAAACCGTTAACCTCTGCTCTACCGACAGCCCAGTCGCTGCATGCGCTTTTGCAAAAAAAGTCGAGGGTTTGGAGTAAGGGTTTAGGGTTTAGGGTTTGGGATATAGACACACAATAAAAAAAAAGAAAACAGCGTTTTATATTCAAACAACATGAATCTTAAACCCTAAACCCTAAACCCTAAACACTAAAGCTCAAACCCTAAACCCTAAACCATCAAACGCGTTGCCTGGAAACACACCCCCCAGCCCCAACCAAAACCCTCACTAGGGTTTAGGGTTTAGGGTTTGGCAATGAGGCTTCACTCAGATTCCGTTTTGGGGGCTTCTGCACTCTTTGCCCCCACCTTTACCACATAGTCGATTACATCCTGCACACAAACCCTAAACCCTAAACCCTAAACCCTAAACCCTAAATCCTTTGTCTTGGATGGCCCAGCACACCTCAGGCTTGGCCCAAAATTCAGACCGTAGCTTTAAACAAGCTATACACTCTGAACCCTAGGTCCTAAACCCTAAGCCCTAATTTAGGGTTTGCGCTCGCCTGAATTGTTTCAAATGAGTCCGCATCTTCGTCAGGAATTACTATGCCGTAGATGTCCTCCGCCTGTGCGCAAACCCTAAATAAGGGTTCAGGGTCTAGGGTTTGGCCGTATCTTTGGGGATTCTAGTGACGCCCTCAAAAACATAACCCTAAACCCTAAACCCTAAACCCTAAACCCTAACACGGTCACAAAAGGTTCATCCCTTTCTGCTTTCGCCTTTCAGCGGCTCCCTAGACCCTAAACCCTAGACCCTAAACCCTAAACCGTAGACCCTAAACTCTAGACCCTAGACCCTAAACCCTAAACCCTAAACCCTAAACCCTAAACCCTAAACCCTCACGTCTAGCACGAACTCCACGGTGTCTAGACAGTCCCAGGGCCTCTCTTCTTTCGTTTGAAACTCCTCAAACCTCAAATTAGGGTTTACAGTTGTCCCTTCTTTGCAGTATTTGCTGGCCAAGTCCACCAGCTGCCGCGACACCTGCAAACCCCAAACCCTAAACCCTAGCCCCAAACCCTAAACCCTAAACCCTCACCCTCGCTCAGACCCCAAACCCCAGCCTACGCAGCCCTCTGCAGGCCTGCCACCTCCCCCCAACACCCCAAACCCCAAACCCCAAACCCTAAACCCTAAACCCTAAACCCTACTTCTTTGGGTTCAAACGAAGCACTGGAGCTGCTGCTGCTGCTCAACTCTTCACTAGAAAAGGCCCTTTGCCACTCCCTGCGGCAGTGGGGCCCCCCAGCAGCAAAAAGGGTCTTTTTGGGGGACCCCAGGGGTGTTGCGGGGGCCCCCCCCGGGGGCCCCCGGGGGGCCCCCTGGGGGGCCCCCTGGGGGGCCCCCCGGGGGGGCCCCCCTGCTTCCCAGAGGCCCCCAGATAGGCCCCCAGGGAGGCCCCGAAGAAATGAAATGAATTGGGGTTTAGGGTTTGGGAGGAAGAGCAAGGGTTTGGAGATGAGGGTTTGGAGTGTATGTACAGGTGGCATGGTGGGGGTTTGAAGGAAGCTGCGGAAGTACAGATTTAGGGTTAAAATAAATCAAAAGAATTATTTTAATTATTTATTTTAATTTTAAATTTGTTTTAATTTTTTAATTGCGAGAAAAAGCGGGCCAGAAACGCCGGGACCGCGGGCGGAAAGCGCCCGCCCAAGCCCTAAACCCTAAACCCGAAACCCTAAACCCTAAACCCTAAACCCTAATTCAGCACCTAACACCATTGTTGGTAACTGATTAGTAAAGCAAGTAATTTGAAGCTTGTTCTCCACTTCTTCAAGGGCCTAGGGTTTAGGGTTTAGGGTTTAGGGTTTAGCAAATCCAGTTTGAGAGTTATAAATGGAATTCTGAAGTATTATTTCTTTTAATAAGGAAGCAAACAGCAAAAAGACAAAGTAGAGAAAACAAATAAACCTCCATGCAATTTGATTTATTTCATTTTATTTCTTTATTTTATTTTATTTTATTTTATTTTATTTTATTTTAAATCAAAATTTGGCCAAAGCTGTCCCAAGAAGAAACGGCAAGCAGCAGCAGCAGCAGCAGCAGCAAAATGAGCTGCACCAGCAGCAGCAGCAGCAATAGCAAAAACAGCAGCGGCAGCAGAGAAATGAGCATCTGCAGGAACACCAGCACAATCAGCAGCAGCAGCAGCAGCAGCAGCAGCAAAATTAGTAACAGCAGCAGCAACGTGAATGGGTTGAATCGGATCAATTCATTTAACTATTTTGAAATCAACTGGAAATAAAAGCAGCAGGAGCAGCAAAGTCAGCAGCAGCAGCAACTTGTGCTGACTTTGCTGCTGCTGCTTCTGCTGCTGGCCAAAATTAGCAGCAGAAGTTGCTGCTGTTGATTTTTGCTGCTACTGCTGCTCTATTGCGCCCCTGCAGCAGCGCGGCCATTTAGATTTTACTTTTATCTTTTTGTTTTCAATTTATTTATTTTATTTTATTTTATTTCACTTAACTTATTTCATTTTAATTTATTTAATTTATTGTATTTTAATTTCCTTAAGTTAATTGATTTAATCTAATTCAATTTAGTCTAATTTAATTTAATTTAATTTGACGTTTTACTCTATTTGCCATTTGTTTGCACAAGTACTTTCCTTACCCAAATGCAATTCAGTTTATTTATTTATTAATTATTATTATTTATTCCTTTCTTTATTATTAATTAATTAATTATTAATTAATCAATTAATCAATTACTAGTTAATTAATTAACTAATTAATTTTTTCATTATTAATTAAATAATCATTAATTAATTAATTAGTTGATATACTATTAACCTCATTAGTTAATTACTAATTAGTCAATTCATTCATATATTTATGATTAATTAATTAATTGATTACTAATCAATTAATTAATTTGTATATATTAATTAATTAATTAATTAATTAATTAATTTATTTATTTATTTATTTATTTATTCATCTTTTGTCTAGTTGTGTAGTGTTTACGGCGGAGGAATTTGCTGGAAAATAAGAAATGAAATAAATCAAAATTAAAAAATTAAAACTTAAAATAAAATGGAGCAATA